ATTTAAAACACAAGACTGAAGAAATAAGTTACGTTTACTTTTGGGAGAGTGTGTATCGATAACTTTTCAACAATGAAGAGAGAAGGATAAACTTCTAGTTTATCATAACATGGTTAATGAAAAGACCCAATGTTATCTACTTATATCTTTTATCACTATAATTGTACATTGTGGCATTCTTCTATGGTTCTACAGGCTAAATAATATTGACAGTTGGACATATCGTAAAATCAGATTACGACTAACATCCCAAGTATAAACGCAGATAATCATTACCTGTTAGATCTATGAACACTGTCCACACATCAAAACTAGTACAATCATTATCCTTCAATTTAGAAAAAAAACGAGTTAAAAGTGTATCTAAGAATAAAATATCATTCAGTACACATCAAATGGATTTGATGTAAAGACGTCATAAATAATAAGAGAAAACCATGATATTGTGCAATGTCACAATATGGTATCGGCAGAATGCTTGACTGTGAATATGTATAGCTGTGTAGGAGTTTCAGCATATTAACTTAGCAAATCAACAAATTGAAATAACGAGTGAATTTTTAAAATAAGAAGATGTGGTATGATTGCCAATGAAACGACTCTCCACCAGAGACCATATGACATTTAAGTTAACAACTATAAGTCACCGTACTGCCTTCAACAATTTAAAAAAAAAACCGAACCACATAGTCATCTATGAAAGGCCCTGAAGTAACAAATGTAAAACAAAACAAAAAATAGAAAACTAAAGGCCTGGTTTATGTACAAAAACAATGAACGAAAAAAAATATGCTATACAACAACAAACGACAACCACTATATTACATGCTCTTGTCTTGTTTTGAAGCTAGATATACATTAATATAACTATTAGATTGTTTTCTATTTCACTGTGTTGTTTGTTGTTGTATCACTGACTTATGTCCAACATGTTCTTATTAACAAATTTGATAACTTGATATGTATACATAACCAATTATCTCATACATGGTCCAATCCAATGCCATTAAGTCCTGTAAGTTTGAAATAAGCATATCCTTCGTAGCAGGCTTGCCATCATATCTGCTTATTGGAAAGTTTTTTTTCAGCAGATTATTTTAGAACTAACTTGATTTAATTGGTTGATAGATATCTTGCCTTTTTGTTTTTTAAGTTTTGTTGTAGTTTAGTTTCTACTTCATGGCTAGACTTCAATGGCCATCTACTTAGATTGAATCCAATAAATTTCTTTCCTCTTCAAATAGTTTTGTTTTTCTTGTCTTGTTTTTTCCGTTCTTTGCCTTGCTTAGTTCGTCCGTTATTTTTTTTTATATTTTACAAATTCTCTCTCATTCCTCAATCTTAGTCTTTATTATTATAAGATAACTTTAAAAAGAGTTCATTTTATTTTTGTCCATCCTTTGTAACATTTACATATTTAACATGTTAACGATCTTTTACTTTTCCCTTGTTGCTTTGCAGGTTGCGAGAGCCATCAGCATACAAAACTGACAAACTCTACATTATTGCTCTGTTGTCCCTTCAAAGTTTTCCAGACTTCTTCCTTTTTTACTTTCACCGTAAGGAATACAATCTTTTCACCTTCACAGTACTATGACATTGTAATAGTGTGTATTCATATCTAAAATATGTGTATTGTCAGATTCCATTATTTTCCAGTTTTGAGATATAATGAAAAATAAAATAGCAAAAATACCGAATTCCAAGAAAAATTCAAAACGGAAAGTCAAATGGCAATCAAAAGCCCAAACACATCAAACGAATGGACAATGCATACTCTTTAGGTCCATTTACTATATAATAACACTAAAATACCACAGTACCAAGAAACAAAGTTTATGGTTCAAGTGAAGGTAATTCGCCTTCAACTTCTGAAAATTTTTAGTTTGCTCTTCCATGAAATATTTAATTAGAATGTTTCAAATGTTATTGAATTTTCGAAAATTCATCCTAACAACCGATCAGACAATAGTTTTAAATTGACAAAAAGCATACAAGTACATTACATAAAGGCAACAGTAGTATACCACTGTATTACGCTTAATAGGTAGTAGATACTTTTGGTATTTTTTTAAATATAACTGGCATGTTAGAATGATAATAATGCTATGTTGATAAATAAATCGGTTTTCAAAAGCAAAATTGACAGCTCGTCGTACTCACAATGGCTTCTATTTTTGCGATTGAAAATAGGTGGCGTAATTGGGAGATAATTTGGACGAAGTAGAATCCTGACTGTCATTAGTTCACTCCAGGTGTTAATATGACCTTCTGTTTTAATGTTTTCTATGAAATGTTCATGTAGGTTATAAATAGACATCTATTATGGAAGCTTCATTTGGAATTATCATCTTATTTGGAAAGGTGTGTTTTCAGCTTAATGGAAGCGACTTTTTCATTGCCACACAACATACATGTACACAAGGAACAAACGCCTTACATACTTCTACCGTAATATTTTGAATTTCTGCAACCCTTACTACTGCCTTATTCAGCAGTGTGTGCTTCAACTCTTTACAAAAGTTAGCTCACCATATCCGCAATGTTGACTTAAAGATGCTGACCAAAACCGAAACTGTTTTTGGAAATCAGTAATTCGTCAGGTTCTGATAGGTCATACAAATTGGCCATGTTTGTTTTTAAAAGAGTTGTTCTGTTATCTTGCAGAAGTTGCTCGAAATTTATTTTATGCAGCTCGTTCAGACAATATATTTGATATATATTGGAATATGTTAAAGGACAAATTTAAACAATTCTGACTTAACAAACATTAAGTACGACCAACAATTTCGGTCTTACTTTCTTTCAGTTATTAGTTCTTTGTGTTTAAAGCTTTACTTGATATTTGCTTTTGTCGCAATTCACATGGTTCCACATTTCATTTGATTAAGGGAAAACATCATACCACTATTGTTTTCTATGTCCGTCTGTGTTAAATATTTTCAAAGTATACTTTGCTTAGTCATATCTATTTCTATAGCGTATTCATTGTTTTTTCTTCCAATTCTAAATCGAATAATTGGTTTTCTTAAAACTGCGATTTCTAAGCGATTCATTTTATGTATTTCTTCATCCGTTCATAAGGCTGTTTTAAAGTTTTCAAATTTAGTTACTGTTTACTGTTTTATTATGTTAGTTTGTGTTTTCTAATATCTTATTTCTCTATTTCTGTTTTTAATCTGTGCTTGGGTCTTTTTTCTGCATTTCTTCAGAGACTAAAATAGCTGAGAATAAATTTTTACTGTTTAATTAGCTTTGCATCTGTGATAAATTTTGGTTTTTCATGCTTCCGACATCACTTTTTATTACAGGATTGGGGTTTGAACATAAATTTCTGTTTGCTTCTCTGCGTGTTATTTTACTATTTCTGTCTTTCAAATTATTTATTTTCCGTATCTTTAATTTTGCATGCGTATATTTGTCTGCATTAGATATTTCACTTTTATGACGCTTACATGTCCCTTAAATGTCCAACACAGCATCAATGTCTATTGAATTTTTTTTATAAATATTTTACATTAAGTTTATTGTTCTTTAGGTTTAAAACTTTTGTCTAATTTTGGTTAGATTTTCTTTTCTCTAGAGACTGAGTTCACAGTTGAGAACAACATGGTATATATAAACAACATTAACCTTTCTTTAATTCTGTTCAATTCAAGAAGTAGTATATATACGTAATAAATATGTCTTTTTCTTTATCTAGTTTCAGTTTTTCTATAGAAACCTAGTCCTGGTAGAAAGTAAATTTCTCCATTCTACTTCAAAAATAGAATTAACAAATATTCGATTAAATATCAAATTATTGAGGACACATTACAAAGTATATACTTAACGTGGCGCGACCATTTAACAGTGCGCATTTTTTAACCTTGGTTTCTCACAACGAGCGTATGTTTTCTAACTTAGAAACGATCGAAAGGTCTTCTCAGAAATATGTTTTTAACATTCATTAAAGCCCGGTCGTGTCAACAAATCGATGTGAAACAGAAGCACAGATAGATTTCGAATAAGAATCGTGTATTGTAATGGCAAAGAAAAGCGGAATGATTCCCTGTATTTTTTCTACAACAAAAGCAATATGGTCTCGAGAGTGCAGATGTCCTTATAAGTATATACTGCTTGGGTTTTTAATTTTTCCAGTGACATGTAAAAAAATGACAAACATATATAAGCTAGTGACAAACATTAAATCATATACAGTAGATGCTTATTATATGTCATGAAATAGAATAGAATACTGTATTTACAATAAACAACCGTCAACCATTTTTGAATACACTATTGGATAAATATCGTATAAATAACTTAAGCTATATCTATTTTACGATAAGGAACATATTAAATCAAATAAGACACAACATTAGCAGAAAATAAGACTGACTCTATTATACAAAACACGAACACAAGAAATGTTTTCTTTTATCTCCGTCTTCTAGGTGAAGTCATTTAAAAGACAAAGATGCATAGTCTGCAAATTTGTGCATCATGTCAATATAAGCCTTCTGTCAATTTTGTTTAAATCCGGAGTGATTACTCAACTTATCATTCACATATTAAGTTCATGAGGATCTAGGTGTCACTTCAGACATGGAAATAGATATGCAAACTATAGGAAAGGCAAGGCATGCAAATAGCCTCTTTTTTTTATCGAAATTAAGTTTCCTTATGGAGCAGAAATACCCCTGGCGGAAAAGTTACACAACTCAAAGCCATTGACAAGTAGGGAATATCTCACCAAACAATTTCCTTCAACCAGTGATTCCAAACTTTATGTGACCATTCAATGACTGACGTTTAAAATGGTAGAAGCACTTGATTACGCTATTCCTCAACTGGCTACAGTTACGTAATAGATAAGATAAGATGCCACCATAAGCCAAAAATTAAGGATTACAATAAACGTTACTGTTTATAAATAATTCATTTGCTAGTGTAACCGCAATCTCTACATGAAATCCAACATATTGAGTTTTTAATATTTTTTGTGATGTTACGGTTAGTTGAGTTTTGTCTTTAAATTATTATATATAAATAGTATGATCAGGAGAAAATATCGGAGAATAAGGAATGTTATACTTTGCCTAGTGTTACTTTTCTGCATAAGCTTGCTGAACTTTAATAATGATAAAACTGTAAGTATACACATCGCTACATCTATTTAAACTGAAACGAATTTGATGGTTGCAATTTGAAAAACATCTTTTTTACTAAATCTGACATGACTTTTTCAAAGTTTTCCTTTTATTTAATTGCGTTTTCATGACATGATCAACACAAAGAAGAATGTCAATACTTACATGATTTACTTATACATCCATTGTCTTTCAAATATCGGGGTTTGAGCGTTCCTGCGCAAGTTTAACCTGAAAAAGCGCTTCAGACGCACGAAAGATAAACATATTATTTGTATATATCCAAGCTTAATTTTAGTTTCTTGTGTATAATTTGGAGTTTAGTATGACGTCCATTATCACTGAACTAGAATACATATTTGTTTAGGGGCCAGCTGAAGGACGCCTCCGGGTGCGGGAGTTTCTCGTTGCATTGAAGACCCATTGGTGGCCTTCGGCTGTTGTCTGCTCTATGGACGGGTTGTTGTCTCTTTGACACATTCCCCATTTCCATTCTCAATTTTACAATGTTATCATTCAATGTAGCGAACAAAATATTTATAGTACATATATATATATATATATATATATATATATATATATATCGACGTTATGATTCCATCCTCACATGCAAAAGTTAACAATATATCGACATGCATGATACCTTTTTTAGGACGCACTGTGGATGTTTCTTAAATAATGTTCATCGGGTTTTACGGTGCAAAAGTATAGAATATGAAAGAATTCCAAAAAGGGCAAAACTTAAAACAATTCACCTTCTTATCGTCACCTCCACAGAAAGAGTAACATTTTTAGTTTGAGTACACTTATATTAATCTAAACTATAGATTTCGGTTTTCCTTTGATAGATCATGTCAGAATCATAACACTAGCTACAGCTGGTGAGAGTATTACAAATGTCATCTGTAGCGTACTGTGCTACACCCTGTTTTTGAAATCATTCGTCGTTACATTATTCATTGTTCAAGCTAATGGTAATCTTCTTTGTAGCTTGAATGTGCTGGATTTTTCAATTTTGTGTTTAACTTTTTCGACATTTGATTAAGACAAAACAGAGGTTTTTGCATACGTAATACTTGCTCGTGTATTAACCTTTCGATATGTTATTTTATGATTTATACCCAGTTGTTTCATTGTAATGTAAGGATACTTATTATGTTATACTGTTGAAATATTCTCTCATGATGCTATCAAGCATGACACATGTGAAAACTAAAACAGGTATTGTTCAAGTGATATCATACTAAAAAAACAAAACAATGTTTTTTCTTTCAGGAAAAAGGATATTGTCCTTCTGATACACTTTTTGAAACTGTGCATATATTTAACGCCATAGCTGAAGCTAAATCAGAATGGAAATCGGTGGAATATATTGTGATAAATGTTCTTGATGGTTCTACATTCCGATCAATATTTGAATGTTGTATGTTTGGAAAGAACAAGTCAAACATGCATCGATCTAAGGCATCAGTCGAAGACAGTTTTAAGCACAGATTGATGCAGCCTGAACTAGCGGCTAAGCAATTTAAGTGTTCAATAAAGACCATTAAGTTCAAGCCAGTGCATATAGGACTGGTTGAAAATGGAAACTCCTGTGATCCATGTATTACAGTCACGTCTCTCATTTATCCTTTAGTTATGGAACATGGTGCAGGTGTGTGTGCGAAAATTGCTTTTAATTATCTCAATCCTACAAATCTAATTGAGTGGTTTGAATACCAGATAATGATGGATGTAGATACAGTTGTAGTTATGTTGCAATACATAAATGACGAAGCATTCAAAGTTTTTAAGTACTACAAGAAAAAAGGTTTATTGAAAATTTTGCCTTATCCTTTAGAACTACCAGGAAAAACAGGTAATACTTTGTATATTAATGGCTGTTTGAAAGGAAAAAGATATTACCTTATGTATTGACCCTATCATCAGTTATTGAGCTATATTCGTAGCGGTCAGTTTTTTATTGGTGGAGGAAGCTAGAGTGCCCAGAGAGAACCTTTGACCTACGGTAGGAAAACAGCCTAGTGATACCGTAGTTCTACTACTTAGACCACTCGGCCATCGAGGCCCCCTATAGAATCTATGAAAAACTGGAATAATGTTTGTACTATAAAACATAATTGTTTGAGAAGTGAACAAATTGTCCATATGAATCATAAAAAGACAACTAGTTTTAATCTGCAGTCATTCATCAGAAGGGGCATAACTTCTAGTATCATACTGGCACACTGAACGGATCTGAACTCGATCATATGTTTTATGTTTGTCTGATTACGTCTAATACCGTATTAACAGACCTAAATAGAACGTCATAAGCTTCCGTTTTGTTTGTCTTGACATGACTGACAAGACAGAACGGACTGAAAAAATTTCATATTTAATTTTTTTTCTAAACTATGTGGTAGCATATGTCTATTTTAACATGTTTATGACAGCATTTGTGACACTACAAATAACATTTCTAAAATCAAGCTTCCATTAATATCAACCTGTTCTGTTATAATACAATTAACATACTTTTAAAAAGTATTGAATAAGTTTATTTTTTTGTAATTTCAGGGTAGAATAATGGATCTTATAATTTTTCCTCCTTAAGTCAGATTTTTTACATGATGGGCGATTTTGCACTTTTCTTATTTTGCAGACAATTCTAGAAGAATGTTTGATATTTATTCCGTAGTGTTGTTCTCTCATTGGAATATTTACTATTATTAATATTATTTGTAATACAAATAACACAATGATTTCAGATCGTGGATTTGAATCAACTAATTGGAACATTGAACAAAGCGGTCATGATGAGCAAGTTGCTGTTTATACATGCCAGGCATATTTACAAGGATATGGACTAGTTGCAATCATCGATTTTGACGAATTCATTGTGCAGGATAAATTCATATCATACAAACACATGGTAAAGGTATGTAGATTATCTTATAAAATAAACCTACAAAGATGACAGGATTATAACTCTGTACGTCAGACATGCGTTTCTTCTACAAAAGACTCATCGGTGGCGCAATTTAAAAGGTAAACAATGTACGACGTTGAAGAGCACTGAGGACCCAAAATTACAAAAGGTCTAATTACCGCGTATTTAAACAGCCCACCGTCGTCAATTTATATTAACTATATACAAAAAATAAAAAGATGTGGTATGATTTCCTATGAAACAACTCTCCTCCAGAGACCAAATGACGTAAAAGCTAACAACTAAAGGTCACTGTACGGCCTTCAACAATGAGTCATACCTATACATCATAGTAAGCTATAAAAGGCCCCGCAATGACAAATGTGAAACAATTCAAACGAAAAAAACTAACGGCATGATTGATGTACAAAACAATAAACGAAAAGCCAATACATTATACAGCAACAAACAACAACCACTTAATTACTTAGTCACCACTTCGGTGTTATCATGTATATCTATTATATAGTCATTTGTTTTATAAATTTACTGTTTGCAAAAGTATGAATTATTCTAAATACTAAGGATTTTCTATTCCCAGACATATAACCTTAGCCGTATTTGGCACAACTTTTTGGAACTTTTGATCCTCAATGCTCTTCAACTTTGTACTTATTTTGGCTTTCGAACTTTTTTGATCTGAGCGTCACTGGTTAGTCTTGTGTGGACGAAACGCGCGTCTTGGGTATTTGATTTTAAACCTGGTACCTTTTGTTAGCTATTATTCGTATGTTTCTCTGTCCTATATGTTCTCCTATTTATTTGTATTGTAGTCCTGTCATGTAATGTTGTCATTTTAATGTTATATTTAAAATTGCCATTAAAGCGGGAGGTTTGGCTAGCCACAATACCAGGTTCAACCCACCATTTTTTTCTTAAAATGTCCTGTACCAAGTCAGGAAAATGGTCATTGTTATATTATAGTTCGTTTCTGTGTGTGTTACATTTTAATGTTGTGTTTCTGTTGTGTCGTAGTTCTCCTCTTATATTTAATGTGTTTCCTTAAGTTTTAGTTTGTAACCCGGATTTGTTTTTTCTCAATCGATTTATGAATTTCGAACAGCGGTATACTACTGTTGCCTTTATTTCTGACTTGGGACAGACACATACAGAATGTTGCCGGTTTAAACATGTTAGCTTGTTCAAAATCCGCCCCCTAACCTTGGACAGTGGTTTTACAGTACTACATAAGAACTACAAAAAGCAGTTAAAAGGGCTTAACTTATCAGATCGATACAAAGCACAAAACATCCTACCAAAAACAAAAAAGTCACAAAGTATATATATGAGATTACTCACAGTTACTAAAAGCTAGTTCAAATCAATAACAACTAATAAAATAACACGTTCTCATGTTGTAATGTTACACCACATTCTGTATGTGTTTGTCCCAGGTCAGGAGACTGTAATTCACTGGTTTTCGTTTGTTGCTTTATATCATATTTGTTTTTTAGTTTATTGTTTAATGTCTGTCTAAACTAGATAACAATATTTTTACCACGTCTTAGATTGTGGTTTACCATCTACGTCGTCTGGTCTGCTTAGTACCGAACGTGACCTATTCCCGAATATGACTGTTTTGCCGAGTGTGAATTTGCATTGCTTTACGACGTGTCTCGGTATTTATATATCCAACATTCATGTATGTAGTTAAGATGTTTCTTTTGTAAGTCCGGTTGGATATTTTGTTATGTCTTATGTTCGCTGATGGAGACGACGTTGTTCGGTATTCATATATCCCGCTTTTGGGAATTTTGTTGTTACTTTTCTTATATGTGTTGGTCCGGTGGGTCATTTTGTGCTGAGTTGTTGTCTGTTTATTTCGTTTGTGGTTTGAATTCTGTATTTTCTGTACATTTCACATATGTCTTATTTTTCAGTATAGTCGAGTTACTCGTGGTTCGTCTACAGGGTTTTTGTTTTATGTTGTTTGTTTTCTTGTGTGTTTACTGTTTGGTCTTACATGATCTTGCCTTATACAAATAATGACACCATAACAAACACAATTCCATTTTTATATTCTTGTCATCGTTAGAAAATACATAAAATAACAACATTACAAACTCAATCCCCATTTAATATTCTTGTACGTATCTATAAATAAAACAAATCTTTTTTTATTTTTAGAAATTTACCTGTGATTATATAAAAGTCAGAAAAAAATATGTCACTTTTTGTGACGTTGATCCATTCAAGTGACGCGCAGTTTATATTTCGTTTGTGTTGTCCTGGTGTGCTATCGTAAATTAGTGGGAGATGTCCGTTGTTATTCTGTGGTTTACTTGTTGTAATATACAATCATATTATTTGTTTATGTAATTCTCTGTGCTGAGTGTTCTTGCGTTTGTTTGTACTGTATTCCTGTCAAGTATTGTTGTCATTTAAGTGGTATTTCTAACATTGCCATATAAGCGGGAGGTTTGAATAGCCATAAAAGCAGGTTCAATCTACCATTTTTCTTGAAATGTCCTGTACCATATCAGGAATATGGCAGTTGTTATCGGACAGTCCGTTTCTATGTATGTTGGCGTTTGCTTTTGTTGTAGTGCAGTTGTTTTCCTCTTATAGTTGATGTGTTTCCCTCGGTTTTAGTTTGTTACCCGGATTTGTTTTTGCTTAATCGAATTATGACTATTGAACAGCGGTATACTACTGTTGCCTTTTTTTATTATATAAATCAGATCGTTAGTTTTACATTTGTCATTTCGGAGCTCTTTATAGCTTACTATATAGATATAAGAAGATGTGGTATGAGTGCCAATGAGACAACTCTCCATCCAAATCACATACACGGTATAGGTTTTGCTCATTGTTGAAGATCGTACGGTGACCTTAAGTTTTTAAGTCTCTGGTGGGGAGTTGTCTTATCGGTAATCATATCACATCTTCTTATTTTTTATTTATATGATTTGCAGTAAATAAATTTGTAATCAGATATATTTGCAATCAGGTATAAAGTATTACATCTTTTTTAGGGGGAAGGCACTTTTTTTTTATCTTGTGAAAAACAAGTTTGTCCGACTTTGAACAGAAACTCTTTATTAACACTAATTGTTTTTAAAACTCAATTTTGAATTTATTTGTTTCCCCTAAGTTTCAAAGATTATAAAATCATGGGGGGAAAGGATTTTCCGGATGGAATACTAATTTTCATCTTGTTTTAGTATGGCTCAGTTGTTTCGAAAATTAATTTTCAATCATGTACACAATTATATTCTGCATTGTCCTAGATTTTGTTGCGCAATGCTAAGGTTTTTGTCCAAGCGAAGTGACCTTTTGATGTCATATTTATGTTATATCTGTTGAATCCTAATATGTGTCTAAGCCTCATGAATGCAAACCAAAACCAACTGATATACAATTGGAAAGATCCTTAGAATTTATATGACATCTTTAAATCAGAGCTATTTCTTTTAGTTTTATGGTAATAATTAGTTACAAACGGGCGACATTTCTAAAGTGTACTACCACCAAATCATAGTACGTCACATCCGGTTGCATACGAAAATAGGTCAAAAAAAAATATTCCCTTGAATTTGACAGCTGTAGGTTATTAATCCTACATTTCATTGCAGTAAAAAATTTCTGGGTCATAAACATATATCTTGGGTATTTAAAAGCACCATTATTTTTTTATTTGGGGTTTCTATAGAATATTTTGGAAACTTGAGGTTACATGGTTACTAAAGCTTGTACACAGGTTATTAAAAGGGGAAAATTTGATTGGTTAACTTCCAGTGTTGATTATTTTCTTATATGCAATGAAATTTATGTGAAATTTTTTCTTTAATACTGGACAGGATAAAACTTTACTCATGCCAAGTATTTCTTTATTTGAAACAAAGATAAATTCTGCACAATTTTTTGAAAAGTGCAAATTTAACAAAGACTAATAGGGGAAAGTCAATGGTGGTATTACACATAATAATGCTGTTCGTTTGCTTAATTTTATTTTTCGTAAACTTCTAGAATGTTTCGAATTCGCGTGTTTGTTGAAAGATATCAAAATTTCATTTAAAGCAATATAGAAGTACTTATAAACCTGTATAGCATGGATGAATATAATGTTTGATAAAATATACTTGATATATACGAAATTAATGTGGTAGTCTTATTTCCCTTTTGCGTAATCATTTTAATGTAAATTTATCTTTCATTGTGAATTTTTAAACGTAAAAACCGACTATGACTTAGAATAAAAGCAGAAGATACTGTATTTACTATTACTTTAAACGCATCCGATATCGCCTCTGTAGGAGTTTCTCTGATCCCTCGGTTGTTTTTTTTTTCATTTTACTATTGTTTTCAAAATTAAAAATTATTAAAATACTATTGCTTATTTTTCAATGCTTTTTCCAGTATGGAAAGAGAGATGTAATGAATGTCATAGCATTATTTTGTTATTTTCATGTATCATTTCTTGACAAAATAAAATGAAAAGTTAATGCATTTAAAATGTAACCTTCAACAATCTCAAGCATCTCTTTTACAAACACATGTATATCCGTATTAAATAGAGTGTTAAGTAAGTTTAATAACTGTACCTTTTATATTTTCTCTCTTTCAGTCGGAATTATTACCATTGTATCCCCAGGCTGCAGCATTTACATTCAATGTTTCTTTCTTTATTACGGATTGGGGAGTTTCAGGAGTACAACCACTTCTCACAAGTCAATATATTCAAAGAACAAATCCCCGATATGAGCGATATAAAAATATGTACATCCCAAAAAGAACGCAAAATGTGAACACACATGAAGTCCAGCCAAAAGCAGGATACAAAAGGTATGTTTCACATATGATATCCTCGAAATCATAGCACGTAATATTTATTTTTCTTATATTGCACATTTTATTTTAAAATAGACTTAATAAATACTAATTCAAATTTATAAATCGAATAAAATTTTAACCTTTTGCTCACGAAAATGGCTTCATCTATCAAAATGGACAACGACTTTGTCATAACTTTTTTTATAATTTCTTTTTTGTTTGTTTAATAAAAAAAAAATAACACTGATGCAGCCGCTGAATGTGTTTGCTGCAATAAAACAAGATTAACAAGGGTTTACATATATCGCATAAGCCTTCAAGGTCACAAGCAATGCATATAGATAATCATTTCAACCCGTAGAATACATTAGTAGTAAAGTAATTTTGTTTGTCAGTCATTGCTACAATCTTTTCAATTGGTACAAAAGAAAGAACAGTGTGTATACATAGAACATGTGAACAAGTTAATAATTTTGACATCTCAGTCAACAAAACACAAAGTTCTTCGTATGAATTAAATAATATAATGTGTTGTCGCGGTTCCAACTCATTTCGATTGATTTTGGCATTTTAAGTAAATAAATTGAAATATATTATCATGACCTTTTTGCAATTACAATCATGACGACCTAGCAAAGGTTGTTGATTCTGCATCATAATATTTCAAACGCTCATCTTCGTTCCAGGATGACATCCCAAGGTATACATGTTATTTGACAAGAAAAACCCTTAAAAAAATGCATTATCAAGCGTATATACCGTAAAACATAATTATTTTCTGCAAACATTTGCGGGAAATTGCATCTCGTTTTACCGATCCCATTAAAATGGCATATTATTTTGTTTCACGACTTTAGGTATAACAACGCCTAACGGCTGAATTATAAATAACTCACTAATCTAGAACTAAGTTAGTAATCGCTGTCCCGGTAAATCCAAATTTTACTGTAATTGCTTTTAGCAAGAAATAAAACAATAGTTTCGATATATGAAAAATTTGAGTTACTTGGTAAGTATTTTTTTATATTTACTTTTATAAAGGGGATGTTAGGGTTTTTTGTCTCTGGTTTCATAACATTTCTACCTCGAAAAAGCATTTTTTTTCAGCAATTTAAAATTTTAAAGGAACTCATTCAGAATAATTGTTTTCTCTTTTGTGATTGTCAATATAATTTTTCTTTAAAAATTGAGAATATGGATAGAATATTATACAATTTTATTTAATGTAATTGTGCGTGAAAGACGTGGTCTGGTACTTGTATTTCAATCTTATAAAAAGATTATATCATTGTTTCTGTCTAAAACCTTTTAGGAATATTTAAGTTGGAAAATTGTATAGAAAACCCCCAATTGGCAACAATAGACGATTACATTTTAATGTTGTGTTTTTGTTGTGTCGTTGTTCTCCTTTTATATTTGATGCGTTTCCCTTAGTTTTAGTTTGTAACCCGGATTTGTTTTTATCTCTATCGATTTATGAGTTTCGAACAGCGGTATACTACTGTTGCCTTTATTTACTACCAAATGATGTTTAACAAACTGTAGTTTGCATTATCATCGGGGTAAATAATTACCCATATTATGCTTTGAAGCACTTTTCATGGAAACTTGGTATCGTCCGGGTTGTTTCGTACAAAGAATGATTTATCGTTCCGAAAAGAAATAACTTCATACAGGTATATAACTTTGAATATCCATATTACAAATTCTGATGTACGTATTTATTTATCTGTTTCTAAATAAAATATTGTTTACACTAGGCCTGTACACATCAACAACATACTTAATTGTCTGGAAAGCTACTTAAAAGAACTGAATTGACGGCAAGTGAATTATCTGAATGCTTATATAATAGTGGATAAGTCTGAAAATTTACTAAAAGACTTATTAATTAAGTATTCCGAATTTTCAGATGGTATTAAGATTAAAATGACCGTTTAAGACTAAAACTTGTTTACTAGTGCAGATGAAACAGATGAGTTCAATCTTCCATTGATGCAATACATTCATTGTTAACAGTTAACTTTCTATCAAGGAAATCATGATAGGAAAGACAAGCACTATCTCCTGAAAAAGATATACTCTATTTGCATGCTCTGCCGGAATATTTCATAATCGAAATTGAACGTTTACTTTTTGAAAGGTGAAATCATCGTTCGTAGGGTACTGTTTAGTTATTTCAACTGACCCCCATGGTCAATTTTAGATGTAAATCCACTTATCTTAAAGTAACATACTGTCTGCCTCATCGTATGGAGTTTTACATATTTTAATTAATGAGTTTTGCTGGTTCTTATTATACAGACTTTAACCACTGTAGTGACGTCAGCCTTTGCATTTTCTGTGGTTTCTTTTTCTAGCTCAACGCTCCTTTTAACTTTTTGTGTTTAATTTCATTATTATTTACTGATGTCTGTTGACAAATGGAATAAGCTTTTAAATTTACCTTCGACTTTTAATTGTGATTTGCTGTCACTGGGATTCGAACACACTCATTCTTTAAGGTCAAGATACGGTAACTGGGCTATGTCACAGATTTTTATACCATTGTGTATACTACTTTGCCTTGTTTAACTTACAATGAAAATCGACAAAACAATGCATTTATCTCTTTGATTTTTTTAAATGTTACTCAATTTTTTCAAAATAGGTGAACATTTGATAAGAAAGCACATAAAATAGGCGTAAAACGTTCTTAAATTTGCCTTCAAATCGCCAAATCTCAAATAACGAATCCATAGATTTTTCTTTAAAAATGGCATGTTGTTGATACATTAATTTCCATTTGATTAATATAAATATAATCAACGAGTCTATTCAGGAAATTCAGTAACATATCTATACCTGGTAATTTGTGTGAAAATGCCTTATTTTGTTACAGATAAATATCTGAATCATTATCATTCAACGGAAATTTAAATACAGCATACCAATATTGTTTGCGAGATGGATAAATAAAGGGAGATGGAAGATACCAAAGACGTTTTCAAACTTATAGGTCGAAAACAAACTGACAACACTATGGCAAAAAATCGAAAAAGAACCAAAAGTTTAACAACAGTCTACAAAACACAACATAGAAAACTAAAGACTGAGCAACACCAACCGGGTGATTTCAGGTGCTCTGGAAGGACTCATATGATTTTGTTATGATATTTTTCCAAGATTTCTACCATATGTGTACTACTAGTTAATGTTTTTGTAAGTGCATCACTAAAGACAAATAGGTGGTTATTTTGGGTTAATGGGAATTAAATAAAAAAAAATATATTCATGAAATTACATCACAAATATAGTTATATATCTCTTAAAATTCATTAACAAAGGTTTATTACTGACAAAAAAGTTGCTCTCACAAAGCTACGCCAAATGAAAGATTGAAATCAACACGATTTGGTTGACCGAAACCATTAGCCTATGTCTCAACTCACTAGCGACATGTTTTCGCAGTCTCAGATCTTCACACATAATAGGCGTCTGATCTTTAAATTATCTGATTGTGTCATATCCTTATTGAGATATTTTGACTAAATGTGGATTTGCATGGGGGTGGGTGATACATGCATATTAGGACACCATTTGCTTTTCGACTCACCCAAACTGGTTTCTTTTTTTTTAGTTCATCCGATTAACTCAGCATGTGGTTTTTATACCTTGATTTGTATCATTTTGTATCGATTTATGTGATTGGAACATCGGTAAATTACTATTGCCCCTAATTAATCGAATCACAAACTGTAACAGATGAAAAGAGTCAAGGGACGTTATTTGTAAAGACTGTTAAACGACCAAGCCTATCGATGCGATGTTTTATAGATGAGGGAATTTCAAGCATGTTTTATGTTTGTGTCTATAGTAATTGAGCGATCCCATTGTAGTTTTAATCTTTTAGCGTAAAGAATTCACTTTCAATAAAGAACAAAATACAGGATACATACGTCTAGGTATATTCCTTTTGTTGCATTCATTAAACAATATTTTATAAAAGATGATTACTGAAGGGCTAATAGTGGATTACAGACAAGCGAAATTTTACGTAATAAGTTAAATAAGTAGTGAAAATTTTTTTCACTTAACCACCGCAACGTTCTGTTTGTGCCAGACCCGAATCAGGAGCTTGTCGTTTTAGCTGTCTGTAACATTTGTTATTTTTTTTTATTAAGTACATGAATCGGCCCGTTAGTTTTCCCGTTTTAAATGTTTTACTTTTTGTCATGTCTTGTCTTTTATAGCTGACTATACGGTATGGGTTTTGTTCATTGTTAAAGGCATTTGAGTGACTTGTACATTTAAGTTGTTTACATCTACATTGTTTGGTGCCTATTGTTGACAAACAAAAACTGAACTCCCAAATTGAGTGAAACCGGAGGCGTCGACAGGGTAAGCGTCTCCTTATTTGCATACATCATCAATATGCGATTTCACATCACTCAAAATGTCACAATCGGAGAAAAAGACATAATCGGTTAATTTACACATTAGAGTACTATACTGGTATTTTAGACTGAGAAAAACATGTCGCTAGTGAGTTCAGAAATCGACACATCGAATCGGTCAACCAATTCGTTATTTAGTGTCGATTTCCTGTTTGGAGAACTTTTTCCCTTCCCTTTTAACGGAATTCGTTTAATGACACCAGGCCAGTATCAGTTGGGATATAAATAAACTTATCATAGATCACAGGATTCAATTTTAGCACGCCAGACGCGCGTTTCGTTTACACACGACTCATCAGTGACGCTCGAATGAAAAATTTTAAACAGGCCGATGAAGTTCAAAGTTGAGCATTAAGGACTCAAAATTCTGAAACGTTTTGTCAAATACAGCTAAGGTAATCTAATCCTTGGGTAGAAAATCCTTAGTACATGTATTTGGAAAAAATCTAAGTTATGTAAACAGTTTTTTTTATAATTATGACCATGTCAATGATAATCAACACAAAGCTTAGTTTTCGTAAAATTGACCGCACATGCCTGTGGATTCATTATTATTTCCTAGATACTAATGTTCATGGATGTCTTTGTTACAGAACAGGTGAACCAAGAGTTTAAGTGGTCAACGAATAACAAACTTTCTTTTGGTTTGTATGCAGACTTTGACAAAACCACGAAATCAAATATCCCCGAAAAAGCAATTTTTTTTCGATCCACAAAGATTGGTATAAAAGAAAATAAATGAATCCACAGTAGTGTGAACATGCGTAACGTATTGATTATTTAAAATCCGCATGCCAAAAAAATTCAACCGCCGTCACTTCCATTCACCTTTTAAATTTATCAGTTGTCACAACTGCGTCATAAGAGCAATGCTATCAATACTGTAAACTTATATCATAAAGTCAACACAACTTTATTACTGACCTTTTTGTGTAAATTACGGAATGCCAATAGTTATATTTGTAACAAAAACCAAAAGTTGTCTTCGATAAGTTTATCGGATAATTCCCGTCTAGTTGAAAAGATAAAAGATGTTTCTTAATTTTGTGGGTTTAAAAAAAACAGAATTTTTGTTCCTTTTTATCGTTTAGACGACTGATTGAGAGAGAGTAAAAAATTCCGTGGATCAAACAAACGAAGTCCGACACGAGCACGGAACCAGAATGCCAATGGAACAGATTTCCTTTTAGCTCACCTGGCACGCAGGGCCATGTGAGCTTATGTCATCACTTGGCGACCGTCGTCGTCTGTCGTCGTCTGTTGTCTGTCGTCGTCGTCGTCGTCGTCGTTGTCATTGTCGTCGTCGTTAATTATTTCGAGAATCTTCTCCTCTGAAACTACTGGGCCAAATACTTTCAAACTTTAACTGAATGTTCCTTAGGGTATTCAATTTATAAATTCTATCCGAAGTTTTGATCCATCAACAAACATGGCCACCATGGCTAAAAATACAACACAGGGGTCAAATGCATTTTCTGGCTTATATCTCAAAAACTACTACAATTACAGCAAAAGTGAAAGGGAGTTAAAGTGTTAAATGGGTCATGATCTATATATAATGAAATTTTCAGACAAGTTCAACAACCCATTATTGGGTTACTGTTGGAAATAGTTTATTTCTATTAAATTTTACTGTTTTTGGTTATTTTCTTTAATATTATAATAGATGGAGAGAAAGTATTAATGGCAATAAATGTTTAGCTATGTAAGATCTACAAATAAGTCAATATGATCAAAATAGTCAAAAGGAGTTATTGCCCTTAAAACGTTTTTTTTAACATTTTTTGCGGAAGTTTCTAAAAATAGAACAAAGGGGTCAAATGAAGTTTTTGACTTTCAAAAACTAAAGCACTAAGAGCAAAACTGACATAGGTCAAAGTGTTAAACAGGTTTAGATCTACCTGTCAAGTAATCTTCAGACCAATAGGACAACTTATTGTTGGGTTACTGTCCAGAAAGTTTATTTTTAGGACATTTTACATTTTTGGGTTATGTATTATCTTTAATATTATTATAGAAGGAGAGAAAGTGTAAATGACAAAATTGTTCGGCAAAGTAGGATCTACGAATAAGTCAAATGCATTAAACTGAAATTACAGTTGAGCGATATCAGGCTCTCATGAGCGTCTTGTTTTCATAACAAAGTACTTATATACAATATGAAATGAACTGACTGAAATGAAATGATTTTAAAGTACGTAATTAAATTTGTTATGATAGACGTCTTTCTGATGATGCATCTACAATCGGAAACGTCTTTACTTATATCATAAATATTTTATTATTATTATCGTCATTTACTATTATAACGATTTTCTTTTCAGAATTTCACTAAGATCCCATAATGTTGTTTTACATCACTACAGAACATGTCCAAATGATCTCAAGTGGAAATATTGCATGCATTTTACACCAATTATAGATAAGAAGATGCTGAAATTGATGCCAACGTTGCTTAGGAATGTGATGTCTGTCAAGGAGCAAATTGGTATCATCTGATGTTTGATATGAAGAATAGCAAATGAAATATGCAATTGTTTGCTTTTTCAAGTAAAGAAATTAATGTGAAATGATGTTGCAAATTAAAAAAAATGAGGGTTTTGTTCTACAACTTGTTATTTTCAATCAGTTTTAATTATTATCATAGAATGAACCTTTAGATTACACGCAAATCTTACAATAAAGATTAATTTTTGAAACAAATAAATCAATGAAACTGGAAAAACATGCGAGAATGGGGGATCCTTTGATTTTGGGTCAATTACAGCCAAATCTAAGTATGGGCAGTCTCACCTTTTGTGAAAAGATATATTAATATCCTTGCATTAAAATGCTAAGATAGTGTAATAACCTTACGGTAATTGCAATTAGAGATGGCAGACTAATTAACAGTATAGATTCTAGGTTCTGAAGTTGTGTATCTTTTTATGTACATTAAAGTCTTTCCTTTATTAGTCTTTTTTGCTATTATATGTAAATACTGTGACCTATAATGGTTTACTTTTATAAATTTTGACTTGGATGGAGAGTTGTCTCATTGGCACTCATACCACATCTTCTTATATCTAAATAAGAAGATGCAGTATGATTGCCAATGAGATAACTGTCCACAAGAGACAAAATGACACAGAAATCAACAACTATAAGTCAACGAACTGACTTTAAGAATGATTAAAACCAATACCGCGTTATCAGCTATAAAAGGCCCCGAAATTACAATTCAAACGAGAAAAATAACTGCCTGAGTTATGTACAAAATAATGAACGAAAAACAAATATGATATACAGTAACAAACGACAACCAATGAATTACAGGCTCCTGATTTGGTACAGACACATACAGAATGTGGCGGGGTTAAACTAGTTTGAAGACGCAACCCCCCCCCCCCCCCCCCCCCCCCCCCAACCTGGGTCAGTGGTGTAACAGTACAACATAAGAAAAAACTTTATAAATCAGTTGAAAAAGGCTTAACTCATCTGATGGATATTGCTATTACGTCCTTTTGGTCGTATTGCTCTTGACATGACAGGATATTTGTTCGTTCACCTACCGAATTTTTGGCTTTTGGCTTTAGGCGTTCGTGGTGCAGGTGGGCCTAGAGGTGCGAATCGGACGCATGAAGCTTTAGCAGTGTTGGTTTCATTTTGTTAACCCTTGTATTTTTTTTTACTAATATGTACTTTATTGGAAACGTGTATACTATACATAAATTGGAAAAGAACGGCATTATTATTTATGTGCTATAAACTACAAAAACTCTTTTTGATTGTGTCTTTGTCAGATTTACTATCAACTAAATGACTATACTTGTGGCCTTTTTTTTATATCAGTCCCTGAACGTTTGTTTTTCAAATATTGTGGCCTCGAGTATCACTGAAAAGACATTAATTGTCGTATTTTGCATCTGGTACAGTACAATTTGTACCGTTTTTTGTTTTACTATCATTGGGTCGATACCTCTGCTGGTCGACAGACAGTCACCTAAGATATCCCTTCCCCAGTAGGCCGTACTTCTGTACCGGCATATACATACGGATAGTGTTTTATTGACATTTGCTGTAATACAATTTTTGAAAGCAATTTAAATAAAGGACAGTATCACACTCATGCTAAGCTCTGATTTAATTTCCTGGTTTGGGTCGACATTTGATCCTTTTTTATCAGCTCCTCAACGTTTATTTTTAATTTCAGATTTTCAATATATTTTTGCTTCGAGCATCACTAAACTGACATTAATTTTCAAAATGCGCATATGATGCAGTTAAATTTGTACCAGTTATTTGACGGGCGCTTAAAGATTTGACCATCTATAATATAAACGATGACATATGCGAATACCAAAATTCTGTCAAAGCTTATCTGACAGAGAAAATATCAAGATTTTTTCATTTACGATAATAAAAAAATACCGTTCTGCACAACATATACAACCCTTTGAACCTTTTCCCATCCGATATTATACTTAACACCAGCATTGAAGCCTTTATGGAAATCTGGAACTGTAACTCATCAACCGAATGTTTAGTACAGTCGTAGTATTGAAATGCAATAATTGCACATTTAATGGTGAAAATAATCTATCAATACGTCTTTTTAAAAATCGCTATGTTGGTTCAGGGTCATTGACGAAGGTGATATGAAATCGAATAAAGAGGAACAAGAACTTAATGTGTTCATTCATCATACCGTTAACGCACATCCCTCTACAATATGATTCACTGATGAACAATGTGCCTCTAACATCACATTTTTTACACAACTATACAAGTGAAAAATGGAATCATTACAAACAAGTATTAACAAAAATACTGAACTCCAGGACAAAAAAGGCGAAAATCTATAAAAGTTGCACTTCTGTAAATATAGACAGTGCAATTTCCCATTAAAACTCCTTTTACGTATAAAACTGTGCCAATTTTACGATGGAATTTCGTAAAAAAAAAACATATATACCCTTGAATGGAAAATTCATATGCACTACCCCTCCCTTAGCTTTTTAGGAAGAGAGATAAGAAGTTAGCAATATCCTTTAACTCTACGTTCCGCTATATAGATGATGTTCTCTCACTAAATAATACAAAATTTGGTGACTATGTTGAACGAATCTATCCCATCGAACTAGAGATAAAGGATACTACAGATACAGTTAAGTCTGCCTCATATCTTGACTTACATCTAGAAATTGACAATGAGGGTCGGTTGAAAACAAAACTTTACGACAAAAGAGATGATTTCAGCTTCCCAATTGTGAACTTTCCATTTCTATGTAGCAACATTCCAGCAGCGCCTGCATACGGAGTATATATCTCCCAATTGATACGATATTCCCGGGCTTGTGTTTCCTATCATGATTTCCTTGATAGAGGATTGCTGCTCACAAGGAAGCTATTAAACCAAGAGTTCCAAATGGTGAAGTTGAAGTCATCCCTTCGTAAATTTTATGGACGCCATCACGAGTTGGTTGACCGTTATGGAATAACCGTTTCACAGATAATATCGGATATGTTCCTTATGTTGTAACTACAATACCCTTCCCTTTTCACGAATGTGACTTACCGAATTAGACTATTTACCGGATTTGTAATAACATAAGCAACTCGACGGGTGTCACATGTGGAGCAGGATCTGCTTACCCTTCCGGAGCACCTGAGATCACCCCCAGTTTTTGGTGGGGTTCGTGTTGCTTAGTCTTTATGTTGTGTCATCTGTACTATTATTTGGCCATAACGTTGTCAGTTTGTTTTCGATCTATGAGTTTGACTGTCCCTCTGGTATCTTTCGTCCCTCGTTTGAGTCTTTCTGAGTATACGATTTGTCCACTATCTAACAGTTTTTATACTGATAAAATTCCCAAGTTGTGTCTATATGATTTGAAACATGCGGATCATTTCTGGGAACCAGTAGGTAAGCAAAACAAAGTATCTATTAATTTTAATATCTCCCCAAAAGAGGCGTGGTTTGTGAATCAACTGTAGTTACAGAGTGCAACCTATAACATGACAAAATCAAACGCTAGACTACTTAAGTAAATCTATTAAGAAGACAAATCAAGGTAAAAAAAACTGGAGAAAACCAATGAACTCCAAAAGATGTGAGACCGGGGTACGTCGACACGGTAAGTATCTCCTGCTTTGCATGCATCACCCGTCATGCAAATCCACGCACAATCAAAATATATTTGGTATAATTGACATTGACAACTATCCATCAGAGACCAAATAAAGGCAACAGTAGTATACCGCAGTTTAATAGTCATAAATCGATTTAACTGAAACAAATCCGGATCACAAACCAAAATCGAGGGAAAAACATAAACTATAAGAGGAAAACAACGGAACAACAACCAAAGGACGTAGATGTTAGCAACCATGGGTCAACGTACTGCTATCAACAGCGAGCAAAACCCATACTATATATTTAGCTATACATATATAATCATTGTGTTTATTTATTTATTTATTTATGTAGTTATTCATTATTCATTGATAATTATTCATCTATTATTTATCTTATCGTTCTTTTTATAAAAATAAGGAGATGTTGTATTATTGCCAATGAGACAACTATCCAACAAAGTTCAAATGAAGTAGATATAAGCAATTATACGTCACCGTATGGCCTTCAACAATAATTTATTGGTGTTTAACGCCACTTTCAGCACTATTGTGCTATTCCGTGGCGGTCAGTTTTTATTGGTTGAGGAAGCCGGAGTGCCCGGAGAGAACTACCGACCTTCGGTATGAAAATTAACAATCCTAGTCAGTTAAGGTTCGAACGCACATCCTCAGTGATTACATGCTAGTGATACAGTAGGCAACTCGGCCACCGAGGCCCCCTTCAACAATGAGAAAAACCCATAATGTATAGTCGGCACATAAAATTGCGAAACAATTAGAATCAATTTACGAAAACAAAATATGCCAGACAGCAACCAACGGCAACCACTGAACAACAGGCTTCTGACTAGGGATAGGCACATAAAGAATGTGGCGGGATTAAACATGTTTGTGAGCGCTGAACCCTACCCGTATCCTGGTTCAGTTATGTAACAGCACATCAGAGCAAACTGTAAAAATCAGTTGCAATTGGCAAAAAATCAAGGACCGCTACGACGCACAAAAACAAAAATAACAATATATCATAAAAACAATAGACACAAAGCTCTGATATAAGATTACTCGCAGATACTGAAAGCTAGTTCAAAGTCAAGTACAATTAATAAATAAATCATGTTCTCGTGTTAAGACGTCATAAACAGTCTGAAAAAAACCCTTGACCTTGTGGCATGCACTAATATAACTAACCAGTATCGACAGGATAAAGGATCATGAGTTCTCATAGAAGTACATATATCGCAATATACATTTAGTTTTGTTTTAAATTTTTTTCAAAAACAAAATCTATGTAATATGAATAAATTTCGCGTATCAAGATTGCATATATATTGTTCAGTCGATTTTCAAATGCTCCAAACATTTTTTCAAATAATTGATCAGCAATCATACCCTGGATTCAGTGTTATTGAAAAACTACCTACTCTAGAAATGGTGTGAATCAGAAATGCATAAACTCAAATTATATGTTAGTTAATTTGTGATCTAAATTCCTCT